AAAGCACAAAAAAGTGGGATGTAGTAGAGGAACAGTATGAAAAGAGGGCAGGACAGAGTGCTGAGAGATACTGCTGGAACCAAAGCGGGGAACAGGTCATGAAAGCCCATAAGGCATCAAGAATGTTGACACAGTTGCGGAGAAAAAGGAACACTCGTACACTGTTGATAAGATTGTAAAGTAGTTCAATCTCTATGGAAAGCAGTATGTGATTTCTCAAAGAACTAAAAATAGAATTACCATTTGACCCAGCAATCTCACTACTAGGAATCTACCCAAGGAAAAAGAAATAATTATATTAAAAAAGATACCTATACTTGTATGTTAATTATAGCACTATTCATAATAGCAAAAGCATGGAACTAACCTAAGTGCTCACCAAAGAATGGCTGGATAAAGAAAATGTGGTATATATATACCGTGGAATACTACACAGTCATAAAAAAAAAACAAAATAATTTTCTTTGCAGGGACATAGATGGAGGAGATTATCATCTTAAGTGAACTGACTTAGAAACAGAAAGTCAAACCCTACATGCTCTCACTTATATACGGGAGCTAAATGACCACAGAAATGAAAATAATAGACATTGGGGACGCGAATAAAGGGAGAGGCAGAAAGGAGGCTTAGGGCTCAGAAATTACCTATTGGGTATAATGTTCACTGCCTGGGGAATGGGCCACCTGAGTGATGGAGTCCCACTATCCATCACTACACAATATGTACATGTAACCAACATGCACTTGTATTCCCTGAATCTAAAATAAAGTAAAATAATATATTTTTTTTAAGCATGTTGAACTTTCCTTGGAAAGCTTTTAAAATTTTCAAGCAAAAGAATGGCTAGCAAGACCAGACCTTCATTTACAAAGTTCAAAGACTAAAGCACAGCAAGGTGGCAAGCTGTGGGGCTGTTGTGATGCTACAGGTGAGGATAAGGGCAGCCTGAATTAGATTGAGGGGATTGGGGAAGGAGAGAAATGGAAAGACACAAGACGGATTTTCTAAGGAGACAAAATGGAAAGTGATTAATGTGGCAAATAAGGCAAAAGGATGAGTCAGGGATGACTCTGTTTCTGGTTTAGACAAGTATTTGCCTCAGGGGGTCTCTGAACACCAGAGAGAAACAAGTCTATGGAAAAAGATCCTAACTTCCATGTTGGCAAGTTGGGTTCGAGATGGCTATTGAACACAGTAGCAGAAATATTAAAAGCACCAATGCTTAGTAGAAATACCACACAATCCACAAAGGCAAGTCACAGACTTCATCTTAAATTGCATAGTAGCCACACTAAAAAAGTAAAAGAAATAGGTGAAATTAATTTTAATGCTATATTTAGTCCAATATATCCAAAATAGTATTTCAATATAAACAAGTTATTGCAATAGTTTATATTCTTTCTTTTTAACTACCTCTTAGAAATGTGGCATGAAATTCACTCTTACAGCACATCTGAATCTGGACTAACCATATTTCAAGTGCTTGGTAGCCATATGTTCCTAATGGCTACAATACTGGGCAGTGCAGATTCTCAGTGCTGCTGATTAAATGGGTCTAGAGTGCAATAGAGCAGTGTAGACTGGAGGAAAAAATTCTTGAATTACTACCGAATGCAAACTGAAGTTATGAAAATAACCCAGGTCACCTGGGAACAGTCTATGGCATGAGATTAAAGGAAAATTTCTTACAGAACCCTGAGAAACACCAACATTTAAGGGACAAAGAAAAGAGATGACAAAGAAAACTTAAAAGGAGCACACAAAAATCTATTGATAATATTATTCTTGTTACATGTAGTTATCTCTAAATGGAAGAAATCATTTATCTAAATTTTTGGATCAATAAATCCAAGAATTATGTAAGGTATGTCATCATTACAGGATCCTGAGAAACAAAACAAAACAAAACAAAAAAACAGCATATATCTGAAATGAGGTGCTGACTTACATTGGCAGAACTAATACCATCCTGCCTCATCAGGAAGACTGAGGTTCACAGAGCAAGTCTGGTAGAAACATAAGCTAGAAAATCAATACTATCCAGAAAACCTACAGCTCCTACAGAAAGTGTGTTTTTAGAGATGGTGAGAAAAAAAATAAGTAGCACTCGTGCAGATCAAGTATGCTGTCATTTTAACAAAACATAAACTAGGCTCTGCCTTGTAGACAGTGATAATTTTTTCTTCACACAAATATTAAATGGTGTGACCAACTTCAAATATTTGCATGCCTCTGTCAACCCAGCTGTTAGTTTTGAGTCATAGGAACCTATTACATAGGACGTACCACAAATATGGACACCATCAGACTTAAGGCAATGAGGGACAGGAACACAGGGTCATCGATGTCAAACTAAGAATTTAAAGTAAAAATGGACTATAGAGGAGGCCCACCAAGAAAGAAATCACTCTCCAAGAGCTTGGTTCTTAGCAAAGGGAGAAGAGGGTGTCTTGTTTATGCTATGTAAAGCCTCACTCTCTACCCTCTTGGGACCTCTTCCTGAGGAAAGGGGGCAAGGGTTGAAAGTGAAGACAGCAGGGTTCTTATGCCATATCAGATCTCCATCAACATGCAACCCCAAAAGATCTTGACTGTGAGAGCTTTGTAAATCAACTCTTAGGGTGCTTACCCTAGGGCAAATAGCACAACAAATTAATCCTTTCGCCATGAAATGCTGCAAAGTTTGTATCTACGCTGAATTCAAATTGCTCATTAGCTCTGACATGTTCCTAATGAGGTTATAATGCTCTGGGACAAAGATCAAATCACTGAGCACAAATAACTAGGGATAGAATCATAGAAACATAAAATTAGGACCTTAAATTAGCACTTCTCATACTTCAGTATGAATCACTTGGGCATTCTAGTACAGGACATCTGGGGTCTAGTCTGAGATTCTGCATTTCTAAGAAGTCCCATGGTGGTCTTGATGCTACTGGCCCATGGACTACAACTTGAACAGCAAGCCCTCACAGATCATCTCATCCAATTGCCTTATCCTAAAGATGAGAACATTAGGGCCAAGAGACTTATAATTGGAAGCATGTTGAGACTTCCAAAGAGCTAATTTGGGGCAGTTCGGTATTTGTCCATCAATCTGGGAGTCACCCCGAATATTTTATTTTATTTTTTATGGCACTTTATCACATTTAAAAAATTTCATCCATTGTCCATATGTGTATTTTTGCTTTTGAGTCGGTGTCTCAAACTGTCAACCATGCTGGAGTGCAGTGGCACAATCACGGCTCACCATAGCCTCAACCCTCTAGGCTCTGGCGAACATGATCACAACTGGCCAATTTTAAAATATATATATATATATATTTTTTTTTTTTTTAGAAACAAAATCTTGCCATGTTGTCCAGGTTAGTCTCGAACTCCTGGGCTCAAGCAATCCTCCTGCTTCAGCCTAAGTCCCCCTGAATATTTTAAATAGGATCTAGGGAGCAGGGTGACCAATCATCCTAGTTGACTGAAGCGATTTACAGGACATGGAATTTCCCATTTTAAAAACGGGAAAATTCCTCAATGATTCAGGATGAGTTCTTCACCCTACTAGGAACCTTTTATATCTACTTAGAATATAGCATCAGGATTATCTTCTGGACCTTGTTTGTCCCTGAGCAGTGGGATCATGACCTGCTGCCAAGGTAAGCATCTAATTATCCTGTGCTGACGATCTCAAAGGGAAAATGCTCAGACAAGGTTGAGGTTCTGTAGAGCCTTCTGGCACCACATTGACAAGTGCCTCTCCAAGAGACAGCCTACCAGTAGATATCAAAGTAAGGCATAAGAAAGGAATACTGAAAACACTATAGAAATAAATATCATACAAGCATATAATGTTCCTTTAAACTACACAAACCTATTTTGTTTTCCTTATTTGATAAAATGCATACAGAAAATAAATCACTAACTTTTATAAATGTCAAAACATTCATTTAAAACATCTTTGGCAAAACACACTAAAATAACAATAAAAATCAGGTTGCATTCCTGAGAATGAAGAACCATACTCTACACAATCAAAATGATTAGAAACAAAAATCTATTCCTCCATATTGTTATTTTACTTACTAGAATAGGGTCCATTAACATTAGATAGAATAATGAACAGTCTCAAAAGCAAAACAGAAAGTCAAGATACTGATTCTATGTGCATTCAAAATCCAGAGTTAGTGCAATCCTGACCACAGTATCTCACTCTCTGGAGTTTACCTGTTCAAATAAGATGTCAATGTAGTCTGACTGAATTACTTGACTTAATATTCATGGAGTTAGGACACTTAAAACAAAGGAAAGAAATAAGTGTGGCTAAATATATACAATGCATTTGAAATAGGTAAAAAACAGAACCCCAGACACTCAGCAATCATTACCTAGAAATTAAAGAGGGCAGAGGCAATCCTATTATGCATTATAAACAGCCCAGCTGCTGACCTAATGGTAGTTTGAGTAGCATAACCTAGAAGTCCTTCTTCTAATATTAATAGGAAATATATTGTATGTATCTAATAGTTCATGAAATTAACAAGGAAAATGAACTGGAGTGAAGTAACTTTGCAAGTAATAGGAGACACCAGCAATTGCTTCCCTGGAGCATACTGAACACTTAAAAAGAGCTCGGGGAGTGTACATGTATATAAATGAGAATAGACATTATTAGAATTTTGTCATAATATTGTTAATTTAAATATATTTCAAATTCTCTGTTGGTTTCAAGTCTTTTTTAGAATAAGCTATTATCTCAAAATGTCAATAAGAGGTCACAGGCTCTGTGATCTGGTTCAATAATGTTGAAAGTTAACTGCCATTTGAGTCAGCTTAAAACTACCAGAAAATCACAATTTGACAGCTGTCAAAATTATTCCATTTCACTTCTGTAGAACGAAATACTTCAAATAATCTAGAAAACAATTTCCATTCTATAAGCCTCAACAGCCTGAACAATAGATGCATGTTTACTGGCAAGCTAAAAAGAATAGTTAATTCCACTTACAAACCAATAGACATACGATGAAAGACAACCCCTCCTCCACAGACACTGCCACGGACAATCCGACCAAAGCTTGCATTGACTGAACAAGAAGCTGAAAGGGTTTCCATGAAAGCAAGAATGTGACTTCCATTTTTCCCAGATAGAGTCCCATCTAAGTCTTCCAAAATTGCTGCATGAGGAAATGGAAATGCAACTAAGTTTGAAGAGTTTGCAAACTTCAACTGGTTGGTCTTCACAGTAAATCCACCTATAAATTGGAAGACAGAAAGACAATTACACAAATGGCAGAAAAACTATTAACACAAATGGCAATTAAACTCACTGGAGGGCTCTCAGCAATCTAGATTGCATAATTATATAGTTTTACATACATAGTTTTACTCGTTCATTGAAGAAAAAAATATCCTGAGTGTAAACTATATGCCAAGCTCCATCACGTGCTAGATACTAAGGAAAAAGAGGAGCAAAGGCCCTGCCTTCATGTAGCCTGTAGTCCATAACATAGGACAACAATTTTTCTACCGGGGTGGTTTTTTTTTGCCCTTCAGGGGACATTTGGCACTACTTAGAATCATTTTTAGCTATCACAGCAGGGAGTGTTGGCAGTGCTACTGGCAGCTAGTGGGTAACGGATACTGCTGAGCATCCTACAATACACGTGACGGTCTCCATAACAAAAAAATTATTGGCTCAAAATGCCAATAGTGCCAAGGGTGACAAACTCCAGTCTAGTGGTTTAGTCTTTCTTTCAGTCATTCAGCTTCCATTTCTCTATGGTAAGGCTAACCCCATCAAAAATATCTCTTACAGCCGGGCTCGGTGGCTCAGCCTGTAATCCCGCGCCTTGGGAGACTGAGGTGAGCGGATTGCCTGAGCCCCTGGGTTAGAGACTCGCCTGGGCAACTTGGTGAGACCTCATCTCTACAATAAATCAAAAATCAGCCGGGCATGGTAGCACGTGCCTGTAACTCCGGCTACTCAGAAGGCTGAGGCGGAAGGATCACAGGAGCCCAGTGGGTTGAGGCTGCGGTAGCCGGGAGCAGCCACTGCACTCCAGTCTGGGCGACAGAGTGAGACTCCAACTCAAAAAAAAAAAATCTCTTACAATGAAGTTTACACATTAAGCATTTACCTTCAAAGCAACATTCAATTAATCATTTGAGCAAATAGTATTAGTAACACACTTTCTAAGTTTTGGCTCTAGGGCTATTCTTCCTGGTAGTCTTTCCCTAATACCATCACCATGTGATTCATTGATACTGCCAGTTCAACTGCCTAGGAAGAAACTATGACAGTGATCTTCTAATTCACACACCTGTATCACTAAAAGAAGAAAACTAAGTACATATCTCCCAGTATATATGCTACCAACTATTGTATTATGTACATTATAAGATCTACAAAACAGAAAATAAAAAAGAATAAGATATAAATAGACGTACAAATATTTTCATTCTACATCCCACTAGAGTACATGCAGTAAATTAATTTATGCAAGAAAATCTCCACAATTCCACTCCTTGCAATTTCTATAGTTGATCTAATACCACAAACCACCAGTCCTACATCAATCATATTGGACTTCTTTGTGATTCCCCAAGAACGACTTGCTCTTGAGAATTTCTATTTTCATTTTTTTGCATATGCTATTCCTCATACCTAGAAACTTTTCCCTGCCTATTCTTCATTGCAAACTTCTATTCACATTTCAAAATGTTACTCAAGAATCATCTCTATTAAATCTTAGCTACCCCCTTCCTCAGTCCCTTTGCAAGGTAAGTTCAGTCCTCTAGCATTGCACAGATTACACTCTACTACAATGATGGGCTTCGACATTTATTTTTGTGCCTAGATCAAGAGTTCCTGGAAGATAGGAACTATGTGTTTTTCATTTTTATATTCCCCAATTTCTTAAGTAGAGACAGGAATAGGTGGTTTTAAATAAATGAAAAGATGGTTTAGCCAAGATCCAGTGAGAAAGGACTAGAGCACATAGGAGTAGTATGACTTTCCCCCCCAGTGTTTTATGAATGATATGAAACACCGAAGCAATTAAAGAATTAAGGAATTGTGATTGGAAGTGTTTGCCATGAGGCATTTTTTATTCCTATCATTATTTCTATAATCTTAAATTCAGATGCCACCCAAATAAAAATAATCTTTCACTCTGCCTACACAAGGAAAAAAAAAGTAAAGTGGAGACTTGCTGATTATTCATTTAATTAGAAAAAACAAACAATTATCTAAATTAGTGATCCAAACCACAAGGGCATATTTACTTGAATTACTTGGTTTGGCTGTTTACAATGATCAAACCAACTAGATTGCTTTCTACCTCTTTTCACCTTGGCCCGTGAGTCCTCCAAGGTATTTCTCACCACCTCTGAGGTGTGGTTAACAAGTGAGTAGGAATTCCTCTAGTTCTCTTTGTGCACACATCCAGCCTTGGACAGTTGAGGACATTAAGTATCTGAATTTTGGCTCTTTCAGGAAAGGCTGTATGCATGTTAGTTAATATCCATATGTTTGTCTATCCAACTCCATTAATCAACAAACTGAGGACTAGATACTTGGCTGTCTGCTAGGTACTAATAATAAAACTTTGAACAAGAGAAATCTGATCCTTGCCTTTACGAAGATCAGAGTCCAGCAAAGACATAGCACCATAATGGCAGAATGAGATGAGTACCATAATAGAAAGAGAACGAAGAGTTGCAGAAACTACATTGGGAGCACCTCTAGGATTTCTTTTCAATGATAAGCAAGAGTTTCTACTGATGCAATCTTGTAACTAAAATAAGTAATGATTCACAAAGGATATATATATCCTTTGCCCCTATTTATAATATTCACTTGAATATTGGCCTTATTTACCATCTGTCCTGTCTATTCAAATAACTCACCTTGTCCTCGAGAACAGCCTGAACAGGTTCTAATGGCCACACAGTTAATGAGATCAAAATTAGCAAAAGTTGTGTTAGATACCATCAGTTCCCATCTTTTGGGGGTTTTAATCCCAGTCGACATACACTGGCTTCCCTGTGATTTGAGAGAGAGAAAGAGAAAAGAAAATAAGACAACTGGACACATGAAACATAGTTTAAAATGCATGAATAAAAATAATTAAGAGGATTTTTAAAAGGACCTATGAACTGAGAAAAAATATTTGCCAATCACATATATGACAAAGGACCTATATCCAAAATATAAAAAAAACTCTCAAATCTCAACAATAAGAAAACAGACAAGCCAGACTCGGTGGCTCAGCCCGTAATCCCGCGCCTTTGGGAAGCTGAGGTGAGTGGATTGCCTGAGCCCACGGGTTCGAGACCTGCCTGGGCAGCAAGACTTCATTTCTACAATAAATCAAAAAATCAGCCGGGCGTGGTAGCACACGCCTGTAGTTCCAGCTGCTTGGAAGGCTGAGGCGGAAGGATCGCTGGAGCCCAGCAGGTCAAGGCTGCGGTGGCCGGGAGCAGCCACTGCACTCCAGTCTGGGCGACAGAGTTAGACTCCAACTCAAAAAAAAAAGAAAACAGACAACTCAATTAAAAACATTTTAAAACTAAACTTTGAAAAGGTAATCCACCAAACAGAATATACAGACAGCAAATAATCACACGAAAAAATATTCAACATTATTATTCATTAAAGAAATGTAAGTTAAGATCATGCTAAGATACACTTATTAGAAAGGCTAAATAAAAAAAAATAGTAGCAATGAAAGTGCTGATAAGCAGGAGGAAAAGCCAGAACTCTCATATATTGCTGGTAGAATACAAAATGGAACAGTCACTGTAGAAAACAGATTGGCAGTTTCTTATAAAGTTAAATATATCCTTATTATATGACCTAGCAATTCAACTCCTAGGTATTTGCCTTAGAAAAATAAAAACTACATTTATGCAAAAACTGTGTGCAAATGGTTATAACAGTTCTGTTTATAATCACCAAATCTGGAAACAACTCAAATGTCCTTCAACAAATGAATGGATAAACAAGTTGTGTGACATCCATACAGTAGAATTCTACTTAGCAATAACAAGGAATAAAATGTTGATACATGCAACAACTTGGATGAATCCCAAAGGCATTTCAAAGTGAAATAAGCCAGTCTTAAAAGGTTACATACTACAGGATTCCATTTACATTACCACTGAAAAGGCAAAACTATAGTGACAGTGATTGTCAGAGGTTAGAAATGAAAAGAGGATGTGACTACAAAGATGGAGACTGAGGGAGTTGAGGTTCATACAACTGTTCTGGTCTTGATTGTGGTCGTGGTGATTACACAAATGTATACATGTCTTAAAACTCATAGACCTGTGCAACAAAAAACATAATTTTTAGTGTATGTTAGTATAAAAAAATTAACAAAACAGCTAACAAGAAAGAAACAAGAAATACTTCCAGGATTTTTCAAAATCTCTTCAACAAACCCGATCCAATCAAGTTGTTAGAGCCTCACAGTTTCACTGTTAAAAATAGTTATACATCTGAGGATTACCAGAATTTTTTTCAAGAGCCTCTAACATGAAAAACACTTAAAAAAAAAAAAAAAACAAACAACAGAAAAGAAACCTAGTGGAGACAAAGCCAACATAGAAATTAGAAGAAAACAAACACTTATTAATAACCTCAGAGAAATAAGTGTATTATATCCATTAAACAAAAGGAAACCTAAAAATAAATTTACAAAAGAGAAAAAAGGAACAAAAACAGAGGCACATAAATAATAAGTTCAATGGAAAAATTGAGGGAATATCCTAGAAAGTAGAACAAAAAGACAAAGATATGGAAAATCAGAAAGTTAAGATTTAAAAAAAATCCAGGAGGTCCAATATCCAAACAATAATAGCTTTAAGAACAAGAGAAAAATATAGGGGAGAGAATTATCAAAGAAATAAATTGAAGAAAACATCCAAGAAGCTAAGGATATAATTTTCCAGACTGAAAAGTCACATCCACACCTAACACAGTGTTTGGAAAAAGAGCCACATGACCAATATATCATATTGAAATTGCAAAACACCAGGGACAGGACAAGACCCTAAAAGCTTCCAAAGAGAAAAATTAAAGGGTTACTTAGAAACACAGTATTTTAAAACTATTCAACCTCAAGATTAAATGAAGCTAGAAGGCAATGGTATACTGTCCTCAAAATTGCAAGGCCAAATGAACCCCAACCTATTATTCTGTAACCAATAGCCTACCAACAGAGGAGTCTTTATGTGTGGCTAAAAATCTTTACCTTCCATAGTCCCCTTTTTCCCCAGAAATTTATTTCAGGCTGTACTCTAAGAAAATGAGGACTTAAACCAGACAAGAGGGAGATGCGGGAATGGAATCAGGAAGAAGAGTTCTAATACTAGAGAGACATGAAGGAAATCACCAGGATGCTGGTCAAGGGAGATTCCAAAATGTAGCTAAGAAACCCTTCTTATATACTGCTGGTGCAAGAGTAAATTGTTGCTTGACATTATCCACTAAAGCTACCCTATGATCCAGCAATTTTACAACTAGGCATATACTCATAGGCATGCCCATGAAGACCAGGAGACAGAATGATGTTTATAACATTATTATTTGTAATAGTCAAAAACTGGAAACAATCAGATGTCTATCAACAACAACATAGCTTTAAAAAATTGTGGAACAGTCATAAAATGGAATACTACAAAATGATTGGAAGAATAAATAATTGTAACACACAAAAAACATGAATGAATCTCACAGGCAAAATGCTGTGCCCAAAAATCCAGGTACAACAGAGTTACCGATATCATTACCGATATAAAGTTCAAAAAACAGGAGAAATTAATCTATGTTGATAGAAATCTGAATAATATTTTTCCTTTGGCTAGGGATGGAAGGATGGAGTTGAATGAGAGGTATGAAGGGGCGTTCAGAGAAGGTGGTAATGTCCTATTTCGTGATCTGAATACGTGTGTGTGTGTGTGTTTGTGTATATATATATATATATATACATATAGAGAGAGAGTTTGCTTTATTAAAATCCACTAAGCTATTCTGATTTGTGTACTTTTTTCCATAAATGTTATATTTCTGTGAAACATTTACTTTTAAAAGTAGAACAAGTACTAGACAAAAGTACATAGAAGATGGGAGGGTAAAGAAATAAACTAAAGGAATATAATGTCCTTGGACTGGTTAGGTAAAAGTTTGACAATACTGATGTAATTGAGGCTCTGTTAAGATAAACAAGTATGCTTTGATGAGGGAGTTATATGAACCAAGGGGATATTAAGAGAGTGTGATGGGCAGGAGGTTGGAGCCAAATAGCTAAAGAGGCTGAAAAGGTTTGTAGGTAAGATGGGGTAAGGCAGCTGCCTTACAGAAAGGAAGTTGGGAAAAACTGAAAATTTGTAGCAATTGTAAAGAAAGTTGCTTGTCTGCTATAACACGCGTCCCCAAACTCTGGGCCTCGGTTCACTATCCAGCCTGCTGTGGCCTGTTAGGAACTGGGCCACACAGCAGGAGGTGGGCGACTATCAAGCAGGCAAAGCTTCATCTGTATTTACAGCCACTCCCCATCACTGACATTATTGCCTGAACTCTGCCTCCTGTCAGAGCAGCAGGGGCGTTGGATTCTCAAAGAAGCGTGAACCCTATTGTGAACTGTGCATGTGAGGGATCTAGATTGCGAGCTCCTTATGAGAATCCAATATCTGATGATCTGAGGTGGAGCTGAGGCGATGATGCTAGTATCAGTGAGCGGTTGCAAATACAGATTAACATTAGCAGTGAAGTTTGACTGCACAGAGACCATAATAAACAACGGCTTGCAGACTCATAGCAAAACCCTATCAGTGAGTGGCAAGTGAGTTGATGTAATTCAATTGTACAGCTGCACCTGGTGGCAGACTTTAAGTCAGAATCTGACACTTAGTCCACGTGTGGTCTGCTCTTTATTTTATTTACCACTTCTACCTGTGCTTCTTTTTGGTAGTGAGTTGTATAATTATTTCATTGTGTATTACAATGCAATAATAATAGAAATAAAGTTCACAATAAATGTTTAAAAAAAGATAAACAAGCATGTTAAAAACTTAAGGGCAATAACTAAAATAATCATAACAAAATGAATAACCTTCAAATAAATAAATATAAAAAGATACTATGCAATCCAAGACAAATAAAGCTGGAAAAGAAGAAAAAAGTGGATTGCAAACTGAAAGCACATAATAAGATGGTGGAAATAAATGCAAATATATGGGAGACATCAGCATGTAGATGGTAATTGAAACCACTAGAGAAAATGAGATTTCTCCCAGGGAGAGCCTGTATATTGAGAAGAAAAGGAGCCCTACAACAGAATTTAGGGGAAAAAAAAGATGAAAGGTCTAAATTGAGGAAGACAAATCCACAAGTGAAAATGGGAAATAACCCCTAGAGAAAGAGGAGGAAGAATGAAGTAACTGCAGCAACATCTGCCCGAATAAGACATTTCTAAAAGTAGCATCATCTGCTTAAATTAATGACAATAACAACAAATAGACAACTGTCCTGCAGATAGTCCTAAAGTAGGGTGACCATAATTTAAATCCAAATCAGGACTTTTTTTCCAAAAGTGAAAGGGAATGCTAATTACATGATGCTGGGTCAACAGGTACAAATAAACCACTCAGTCAAACTAGGATGTATAATGATGCTGTAGCACATATCTTTCTTATATTATGGACATTCTCACTGAACATCATGTTATCTATCTCAACATAAAGGCAAGCATGGCTGTAAGAGTACCAACACGTATACAACTGTGCTTAACATCCCTTCTGATGATAAAAAGTTCTTCCAGAAATTAATGTTAGTTTTAGGATATGACTCACTGATGATTGCATGTCACCAGTTTTATGTGGGTGGAAAGTCTATGCATGAATAGGCCAAATTCTCTGACAATCTTAATTGGTAAAGGAATGACAGGCACAAAAGATAGAGGTTAAAATCAGAGTTCCATAACCACAGAGAGGTCAGATATCCTTTTATTTCTTTTTTCTTTTTTTAAATAACTGACACATGGCAACAAAGTGGTTCCCAAATAAATCTGAGAAATATTGAGCCAATTAAAGATTAAGGAATTTTTTTCTTATTTGTTTGTTTTAATCCCACAATTCTTCAGAGCCTTTAATATGTTTTTTTAAATAAACTTTATTCTGTGTATTTGAGTTTTTTGTTTTTAGTTTTTTGTTTTTTTGAGTTGGAGTCTCACTCTGTCGCCCAGACTGGAGTGCAGTGGCCACTCCCGGCCACCGCAGCCTCGACCTGCTGGGCTCTGGCGATCCTTCTGCCTCAGCCTTCCAAGTAGCCAGAATTACAGGCATGCACTACCACGCCCGGCTGATTTTTTTGATTTATTGTAGAGATGAGGTCTCGCTGCCCAAGCGAGTCTCGAACCCGCGAGCTCAGGCAATCCACTCACCTCAGCCTCCCAAAGGCGCAGGATTACAGGCTGAGCCACCGAGCCCGGCTTGTATTTGAGTTTTACATGATGTTACAGGATACATATAGCTAGTACAATGGTTATAGTGTAACATAATATATCTGTCATCTCACATAGTTACTTTTTTGTGATAAGAGAAACTAAAATCTACTTGTTTAACGAAATTCCCTAATACAATACAATGTTAATTCTAATGCTCATGTTATATACAACATCCTCTAGAATTGTTCAAGATTTCAGGGAATAGAGAGTATAGAAACAGCACAGTGTAAATGTAATTATCCAAAGAATCCCTTCTCTTTTTCCAGACAGTCTCTCGAGCTAGTCTTTCACAAAACAAACAAAGAAACAAGCAAAAGCTTCAGGGAATATACGCAGAGATGATGTTGGGTGGAATGTGATATATGTTGCTCTGTGGATACTTTGAATTTGCCACGGAAAGAAATTTCAATGCAAGTCCAAAGTATAGCAAATATAGTTTTACAAACAAGGAAAAATATGGGTACCTTAAGAGAAAGGATACATGGTTGCCTTTGGCAAGAAGTTTTATATACTTTTACAATGATGATTAAGCAAGCCATGAGCTAAGAGCCCAAGGCTGCAGGTGTGTCTGGTCATGAGTTTTGATCACTATCTTTCAAACTTTTAAGGGCACAAGGACCTACAAAGTAATGACAGTTACTGCCCAACTAGATTTGGGCTTTTCTTAGGACATCATGTCTGTGTTTTGGGTAATTTTCTATTTCTGTGATTTACTACACTGTAATTCTATATTCCAACCTGCAGGGTGGTCAGGTTTGAAATGCCCATCAGTTTGGTGAATGTCTGGTATGGATAAAAAAGATGTCTGAGTACTTACCCTGTTCTAAATTAAACCTGTCTGAAAAAACTTGCCTAACTACTTCTAAACTATGTTAACTATGCCTACCTCATAAGCACTAATAAATGTTCATTGCCACAGCCATTTTCCATATGCAATTGAAAGAGTATTTGACAAAGAGTAGGAGAATATCAGCATGGTCCTAGCTTCACAATACTAGGCATGAATCTTAAACTAACATATTACTTCCCAAAACCTCCATTTCTTTACCTGTTAATTCAGGGGTTTTAATCAGATCATCTCTTAGGTAACAGTTAGCTCTGAAATTGCATGGTTTTATGATTTGGATGACTAATCAGCATCTAGATGTCTCCTAGAACAAAACTGTTTAACATTTTTTCATCAGGGGACCCTTGTCCTGCATTTACTTGTTAAGAGATTGAAAAGCCCTCAGCTGCATTGCATTTCCAGTGAATCACACCCCAGGGGTGTGATTATTTTTGATTATCTCATGATAAGCATGCTTTTGTCATAATTTATATCTTAATTTATGTCACTCTCCCATTAATTATGATGTCTATTTAACATCAATTAAGATACTGCAACATTAATTTACCAAGACAGTTACTCAGTTTGATGGAAATTTTGTTTTTAACATCTACTCTAGGGTTATTTCTGGAAGAGTTAAGGAAGGACCTTTGATCTACCAGCTTTATAGAATCTAAATCTGGGTACCATCCTCTCTTGAAAACTATAGTCTGGAAAAAAAAAATAAGAATCATTTCTCAAAGTGATAATTCTTTTAAAGAGAGGGAAAAATTGCCAGATATTTACCTCCTAAAAAGGATGGTTCAAAAAACATTTGAGAAATGTTGAGACTTAATTAACACAGGAAAATATATCTCAATAAGAAATGATTTCCTAAATCTTAATATTTTTATCTATAGCTATGAAATAATCTCCAATAAAAGAACAAGAGTAAAGAAATATTATTTACATCTCAATTGGACAAAGCAGTCAGGTACAAACTGAAGAGAATGTTCTTTCCTCGGCTCCCAAAAATACTGTAGTTCTCTTTAATCTATGATTTTTGTGACAATGTGATTACTAATCTACATGTTGCTCTTTTAGAAACAAGAACATAGGGAACCCACTTGATATCTGAAGCCTACGAAAACATAGGGAACCAAAGAGGTCACAGATTTTCCTTAATAACTAGTAGTACTTCTCACCTGGGAAGTACTCTGCCTCAGCAGCATTCTGGTACCCTGACAGTGCAATGGTAGAGAATTCATCTATAGTCTGATTGTAATCATGTAGAAATTTACACTTAGGCAAGTATTATGTAATCAGATACAAAATCTTAATGTAACAAACAACATAAATTTATATTACTTGATTTGACCTATTAAAAGAGGGTATCCTAAATGGAGTAAGAACAATGAACTATGAACAAAATATTGACCCAGAAACTTGCAGGGCAGAGAGACAATATGGAATAATGCTAGTCCATATTACTTTTGTGGTTAGAGAAATTTAGGCTAAATTATTAAGTTTATTGTTAAATTTGTATGGATAATAATTCTAAATTGCGAACAAAAAAATTCTGCAAGATACAAAAGACTTCTATGTTTTATAAGAACTCATAACATTGAATCCCTGTGTGTATGTGAGTTTTATTATCTATATGACCACTGTTACAAATAAAAATCTCCTCTATCTTTTACTAATTAAATACAAGGTTCACTAAAGAATGCTATTTAAATTACATATCCTGGATCATCAGGGAATCCAGCACATGTAATTTTGTTTAAATAAATAGCCTTAGACAACCACATTAGGCACTTACCTCGTGGGCAAAATGACCAAATAATAAGCTGTCAGTAACTGAAGTATTTGCATCACTTTCCAAGATGTCAATTCCAAAATCTCTACATGAATAAACTTGGAAGTTTTTCAGACGAAGATTGCTACTTCTAAAAATCTATAAAATAGCAGCATATGTTATGGCAAAGGTCTGAGGCTTGGTTTTCCTTTCAAACTTTCTGTAGCTTCTTTAATTATTGATTAAGTATAAATAAGCATGCTGTACCATATTTTAGCAGCTTTTGTCCATCAATATCAGTACAGGCATCACAAAGTTACTGTGAGGTCAGCATTAACTAGTCCCCTTTGGTAACACCCCTCCATACTTTTCATTTTTCCTCATAATAATGATACATTAAAAAGGTCAATGTGAATTTTCCACATATCTAAAATAAACTCACAGTAGACAAATCACACAAAATTAACAGAGAAAAACATACCATCAAGAACTCCAATGTTTGACATTTTTCTCAGTGTAGCATATATTAACTCATAATGTCAAAGGATTGCAAATACAAAGTAAGTAGTTCACCTTGACTACAGATTCACTGTTTGTGAACTCAACATATATTATGAGCATATATAGTCATAAAAACTTGGGTTAGAGTGCCCAAACAGGTGTCAAGTAGTAAAAAAAACTTACCTTGGTAGAGTTGACAGAATCCTGCGTACTATGGTTTAAATGTCTCCCCCAAAAGCATGTACTGAAAACTTAATCCCTAAGTGTAACAGTGTTAGAAAGAGAAGCCTAATTGGAGATGTGTAGGTCATGAGTGCTCCACCCTCATGAATGGATTAATGCCAATTATTAGAGGGCTTGACACTGTGAGTTTTATTTCTTCCTTTTTCTCACCCTCTCTTTGCCCTTCCACCCTGGAATGATGTAGCAGGAAGGCCCTTTCCGGATGCTGGCTCCTCAATCTTGGACTTCCCCTGCCTCCAAAGTCATGAACCAGTAAATTTTGTGTATTATAAATTCCCAGTCTATGGTTTCCTGTTAGGGCAGCACAAAATGGACTAAGCCACTATTGGTGTGGGAAAGAGAGCTCTTGGTTTATACCTAGCACGGATATTAACTACATTTAACTTCTCCGAGTACTTTCTTACTTTTTTTTTTTTTAATCAATTTTTTTAATGATATTATGGGGCACAGTTAAGGGTTAGGTATGCAAATATGCTCCATTCAGGCATGCTTGTAGATAAGAGGTGTCTCCCCGTCCCCAGACAGATATTTACTACCGTTAATCCCAACTCCCTTCCCCTCCCACCCCCATAGTTTCCCAACACTGTCAGTAATTTTCTAATAGCATTACGTTGGATGTTCAAGGTCCACTATATGAGTGAGAACATGTGATACTCAGATCATTGTTTCTGTGAGAGATCACTCAGTATTATAGACACTAGTTCCATCCAGGTTGCTGCAAA